GTTATGTCATGTTTCAAAATTGGTTACCCATTCGACTTAAAATCATAACTAAGAAACACATATTTGCATTTGTATCATTATCTATAATTATTTTGTTTTAAAGTACATTGTAGTTGGTTAAAATACTTTTTTTAATCACATTTCTCCATATAGAGACAATATCTCTACCTATATTCAAGTAAGTAAGTTTTATTACATGATATAGTGATCTTTAGTTGAATACCTCAACAAGATACGCAAGAAACTTTTGCTCTTCATAACACAAGTATTTTACATAACAATTAAAAGTGAAGATACCACAGTGTACATATAGGTAGGGTGTTCACAACTCGGCTCGTGAGCTCTAACTTTAACTTGGTAAGTTATTATACTTGTTATATCCTAGCCAAGTAAATTAGACTTAGTTCAAGGAGTTAACAATAACATGAATTGTTATACGTTTATATCACAAACTTTATTACTATACCTACTTAATAAATAACCTACTTTTTATTGTGTTAAGTTTAATCGTAGTAATATACCATTCTTTTGAGCTATTAATAAGAATTGTAATTCTTGGGAAGTTGTGTGTGTTCTTTAGGCAAAATTACATGAGCTGGAGGCCATTTTTTAGATTTGATGAAGACTTGCCCAAGGCTTTCACTCAGAACCTTTGAGTTGGTATTTAGACAGACGTACTCCCACATACTGTCAGGTCACCTTGAGAAGCTTACATCAGTATAATTTTGTTTCAAAATAGTTTCGATATGAAACATTTTTCATCATACTATATATTCTATTCACAATAGCATTAGACATAAGTAAAAAACGCTTATTTTGGGGTATTACCTACTTTGTAATAATAGTGACAAATAGTTTCAAGAAGGTTTCAAGTTCGATCCTTAAGGCGGAAACATGGAGGTTATAGTTTTACAGGGCTAAAAATTGGCCGTTTTGTATATTTTAGTGTGCTTGTTCCGATTTACATTTTGCAATCATCGAAAACTGGCTGCCAAAAACATTTTTTTTATCCTAGGTATATCTTTTCCTATGCATTTTACGTGAAAAACGTTGTAACGTCGATTGGACTATATCATAATATTAAAATAGTAAAAAGTAAATTGACTAATCTATGTAATCGCAGCTTTATGCCAGTAGGCCCGGAGGACCAGCTTTAACAGTTTTCTGTCGGCAGTAAAGTACTTCAATACTATATTTTTACAGATGGTCGCATCAATAAAATATTTCATTATTTGTTTTGCAAAACATCGGGAATACTATTTTCGCATTTGCTACACCTACACACATTTCCTACGAAAATCCACTGCAATACTATTACCACAAGCGGTGATGTGATAGAAAAGCCCTTTGTAACCAACAATCGAGTTTTGTCTTCACTTATTAGATTGATTCTCAAACTCAACACGTATGTTTACGCGTAACTAAATTGGCAAAAGAAATTCCTACAGCTAACAGTTTGTAAGCATGGTATAAAATGTACAAAGAAAAAAACTGGGCCCCAATTAACTTGGCCGAGATAAATGTTCGGCCTGTATGTATTTGAGCCGAAACACTTGGTCCATCCGACCTCATGCGCTACGTTTTTAGTGAACCGTGTAACAATGAGAAAACGGAACTTATGGCTGTTTCGTCATAAATTCTGATGTGTTTTTGCTTTTCTTAATTTTCTAGTTGTCATTGTGCCTGCTGTAAGTGTTCGGCTTAATTGAATTGTCCTGTTGTGTACATTCTTAAGTCTTCTTAGTGCTCCCTTCTTTTTAGAGGCCCAAAAGTGATTGCACCAAAGATTCTATTTACTTGTTATACTTGACTACTAGACTTCGCAGATTGACTCATTATAGATGATTTTACATTGCTAAATGCTATTTTATTTTTGCAAACTGATAGTAAAATCGTTATTCTCCAATAGATAACCAGCAAGGCACTTTTATAAAATGCTCTGGTGTTTCAGGTGTCATCAGGTGATATGTCTACTCATTTATCCCCTCTACATACTCCACAAAACAGAAAAGACGCATCATTGGAATTTATTCGTCTACTAAGAAAGGATTAATAATAATAATAATAATAATAATATAGCCTTTTAATCAGATCTCTTAGTACAATAGGTTTTTAAACTTATATAAAGAACTAGCACTATAATATAAAACTTAATATGTATATGAATACATATTACAACATATAAACAACAAATTTTAGTCTAAACTATGAAGTTTAGACTAAAATTTGTTGTTTGGTTATCTTTCCTAGATCTGTTTGCCAGTCGGCAAAGGCCTCCTCCAACCTTTTCCATTCCTTTCTTTCTTGAGCCACTCTGTTCCATGTGACTCCTGCCACTTGTCTAACGTCATCGTCCCACCTTTTCTGTGGTCGGCCTCTTTTCCTTTTGCCTTCCCTTGGGTACCACCATGTCACCCTTTTGCTCCATTTGTCATGTCCTCTTACCAGGTGACCAGCCCATCGCCATTTGAGTCTTTTAATTTTGCTTATTACACCGGTAGTTTTTGTTTTGTTTCTAATGACGATTTTTTTTACTCTGTCGGACTTTTTAATGTTTAGCATGCTCCTCTCCATTGCATACTGGCAAGTTGCTAGTTTGTTTAAGGTGACCTGGTTCAAGGACCATGACTGACACCCGTACGTAAGAACAGGTAGTATGCATGTGTTAAAAAGTTTGCATTTTAAGTTTATATGGAGTTCTTTGTTTTTCATAGCCTCTCTTAAACTCCAGTATGTCTTCCAACCATTAGTAATTCTTCTGTCTACTTCCTTCTGCATAGGATATTTTTGAGTTATGAGTTGCCCTAGATATACGTACTCGTCTGTATAGTTGATTTCAGTGTTTTCAAGATCTATAGCATGTTTGTATCCGTTTGTCATCACCCTAGTTTTTTCCGGGTTCATTGCCAACCCTACTGTCGCACTTTCTTCCGCAAGTTCTTTTAACATTTTTGTTAGGTCTTCTGCTGTTCTCGCCAATAATACTATGTCATCAGCAAACCTTAAATGCGAAAGCAGTTGACCGTCTATATTAATTCCGAGGTGTTCCCAATTAAGTCTCCGGAAGATTGATTCTAGTACTGCGGAGAATAATTTCGGAGATAGGGGGTCTCCCTGCCTTACGCCTTTTTCCACTCTGAAAGGAGTACTTTTCTTTTCTAGTTGGATTCTTGCTCTGCTGCGGCTATATATGTTTCTTATTAATCGGATGTACTTATGCTCAATTCCTTGTTCTAGTAACGCCTCTCATATTTTATCATGTTGTAGAGAATCGAATGCTTTGCTATAGTCGACAAATGCAATGTAGTATGTTAGTTGGTATTCGTTGAATTTCTGCAGGATTTGACGCACTACGTGAATATGGTCGATCACTGAGTAATCTTTGCGGAATCCTGCTTGCTCTATAGGTTGGTTTTCGTCTAAGGTTCTTTCGATCCGCTTTAAGATGATCTTGGCAAATATCTTATATATATTGGACATAAGACTTATAGGGCGATAATTTCCTATGTCATATTTATCACCCTTCTTGTATAGTAGGATGATGTGAGACTCGGTCCATTGCTGGGGGATGATCTCAGTATTTATGATGTCATTGAAGATATCTCTGAGGATAGGTATCAAGATCTTTTTGTTATATTTTAAAATTTCATTGCTTATTCCGTCAGGTCCGGGTGCTTTCTCGCTCTTTTGGGTATCGATCGCCTTACTGACTTCAACTTCAAGAATACTGGGGATGTTCGAGGTTTCCACTGGATTGATTTCTGCTTGCGTAGTGTTGTTTCGATACAGATTTTTGTAGAATGACGTAGCTGTTTTCAATATGTCGACCCTGTTGTGATCGAATTTTCCTCGGTCGTCTTTCATTTTTACGATCCAGTTCTTCGTGCCAGTCAATTCTTTAAGTGCTTTTTTAGTTCCACCGGTTTTCTGTATGAAATTTTCTATTGTTTGCATCCTTCGTTGTTTTCTATCCTTTCTCATACTCTCATTGATGTCTTTGCTGATTTTTGATAATTTTTGTTTTCTATTTTGAGTATCTCTTTGGTTAATAAGGTGATTTCTTTCTTCTAGGAGTTTTTTAGTGGCTGTTGATAGTAATCCTTTTGCATCAACTTTAGTATCTGCTATGAGTTTAGTTTGGGTTTTGATAGCATTTTCTATATAATTGTATTTATCTTGGGTTTTTAATTCCTTAGTGTTCTCTTTGAAGTTTTCAAATTCGACCTTTAAGGCTGTTGTTAATTGTTCTAATTGCTGTCCGTTGAGTTTTGTGTTTCTTGGGTCCCGTCTCGGTCTATTCTTCTTAGGTTGATTTATTTTGAGCTCAGTTCTGAGTAGCCTATGGTTGGTGTTGAAGTTGAGTCTTTTAATGACGGTGAAATTTGTGAAGTAGCTGTTTCTGTTAGTCATTATAAAATCAATTTCATTTTTTGTTTTACCATCCGGCGAGATCCAAGTCCACCTGCCCTTTCGGTTCTTCTTGAACATAGTATTTAAGATTGTTAATTTGTTTTCTAGCGCGAAGTTTGTGATTTTTTCCCCGTTTCTGCTTCTGGTTTTGTTACTATATGAGAATTGTCCCAGTATTGCGTTTTCTCCTGGGCGTCGTGCTCCAATTTGGCCATTGAAATCACCCATTACTATAAGGTTTTTATGACTGTAATCTTGGATGGCTTCGTTTAAAATATGGTAAAAATTGTTTATCTCTCCCAAATTTGATTGCTCTGTAGGGGAATAAATTTGTACAATAGACCACGGATTTCTATATCCTGGTAGTTTCAAGTTTACAATCGCTATGCGTTCTGAGATTCCTATGAATTCTTCCACATATTGTTTTAGATGTTGTTTAATAATAAATCCTACCCCATATTGGCCTTGCGTCTCCCCTATTTGGTATAACAGATAGTCTGGATGACAAGTAATACTTTCGCCCATTCTTCTCACTTCGCTCAAACCTATTATGTCCCATTTAATAGATTCTAGCGCATATGTCAGTTCCGTAAGATTTTCTTCTTTTCCCAGGGTGAGTACATTAAGGGATGATATGTAAATTACTGATTTTCGGTGGCTGTTGTTTTTAGACGTTGGAGGGTTGTGGTCGCTTTCCCCCTCGAGGACCAGTCGGCTTGGGGGAGTTCGTAGTTTTAATTCTTTTTTCCTAGTTTCTTTGGTTGGTTTTGGTTTCCGTTTGCCGTTTGTTAGTTGCTATTGGTTTTTATGCGTATTAGGCATATTCGACAGCGAGCTGGATCTATACCGCATTAAATCGAAAGCATTTGTCCTGTTTGTCTTCATTGTGTTTACGGTTTGTTGTTTTTTTGGTTGGCTGTTATCTGAGGAGGGTGAGGCGGATATATCCCTTTTCCTTTTCTCTTGGCTATAGTTGTTTTCTTTGACAACTAGTTTGTCGTATTTCAGGTATGCTATATTGCCCTTTTGTCTCTCTTCGATCAATTTGGTTTGAAGCTCTTTTCTTTTTTCCAACACATCCTTCGAATAATCCTCCGCAATGTATATAGTTTTTAGGTTCTTTTTGTTTTTGACAATTTCGGTCTTTTTCCAGTTGCTAATAAACGAGCATAGCACTGGTCTCGGTTTGTTGCTCTCTCTATTTCTATTTCCTAAGCGGTGAATTTTGTTGATATCGTATTCTTCCACTTTAATATTCAAGTCTTGATTAAAGGCTTCTTTGAGCTTTTGTATCAGTTCATAAGAGGATTTTTCGTTTTCTTCTAATCCGAATATTATAATATTATTGTTTTTTTCAGCCCTCTTAAGAAAATCGATTTCTTTTTTTAGTTTTCCTATTTCAGTTTTCAGGTTCTTATTTTCTTCGATAATAGGGATTAGTTTGTCATCCATCTTTTCCATAATACTATTTGTTATAGAATCCTTCAGTTCAGCATTTTGGTTTTGCATCTCTAATTTCATTTTTTCAAATAATATTTGAAATTGGCCTTCCATCTTATATTTTGAATCTACGTGTAACGAAACGCAATAGTAGAATACGCAATAGTAGAATATGGTATCAACAATTTTTTTTTTTTTTTTTTCACTTGGCAACACTCTTTAGTATGTCAGTTAGATCAGTGACGTTAACGTCAAGTGTCACTGGGTGAACGAACGATTTCTTGTTTTCTACTTCTACCTCCAATTTAATATTATTATGTTGGTATTATCCACGATGGATTCCAGTAATCGCACTTCACTGTATGTTTTTTTATCACTTCCAAGAGGTCCCAGTATTGATTCGACGAATATTAGCCACTAATAGCTACCAAAAGTTACGTTTACTATTTTATTTCACTTAATTTCACTCGGAGTTTGTCACAACGGTGTTGACAGTTCGGATGCCGGAAACGGAACTCGAAAGAAAGGATTGCTCAACATTAATAATTATTTTTATGATAAATATTATACTCTTTACAGTTATATTCACTAAATACTGTATATTCTACAATTTTATGTCACACAGTAATTAATTGGCGTCTAATCAATGATCAGAGCGCTTTATTCAAGCTTCACGCTTCTACCAACATGTCCAATTCAATCTAAACGTTACCCCGACTTGTTTGATGCTGTCCCTTTCCCGTTCAATAAACAAATTAACTAATTAGCCAATAGGCTGTATATTTGTCCTTGACTTGAGTTAAGGAAGCAATTATACGGGGTAGAAACGTCACGTAATTAGGTCAGGAAAATATACAAATACATATTATTATAATAATAATAAGTAAACGCGAATTTTGTCTGTAAATAGAATGATACAAGTGAAATATATTGGGAAGTAAATATGTTAAACGTAGGTATGTATTAAACAGTGTTGTTCTTGTTGGTGAGTGTCAAAAAAATAATCGTGTTTCATGTAATTGTACGAGTTTATAATGTTAACTATAATAGTAGCAGGTGTTACATAAAAAGTGATTCATGAGCACTTTACGTAAACTCCATGTAGTTATAAAGTTTTGCAAAGTTGTTTAGCAAAATACATGTCAGTCAAGCGCTTGTTCAGACTTAGCTTTAAAACTTTTGCTAAACTAAAACTAGACATTTTATTTTCACATTCTAGATAAAGTTGCTGTCTCCTCCATAAGCTCTAATTGTTTCATAGAAAAAGAAATAAAATATGACAGTGTATTTCCTTCAGTTTTCATTAAATTATTTCCGTAATGAATAAATGTATTACACAGGGAATTCTTTTCTTCAGGTTTTTTTTCCTTATTTTATTATAAATCGTTGAAAGTGTCTTATGCTCCGAGTTATTTTTTATCAAGGGTGTAATAAATTTTATTTCAACGCCTTTTTTGGACTATTTCTTAATGCAAATAGGATGTCGTAGTCGTTGTCATTTTTTTGTAATGCGTAAAATGAACTGGACGAGATCGCAATGACGGAATATTTAAGTTGTTGGTAAATTAAAAAAATTAAATAATTTTGTATAAGATTGTCCTTTTGAGTGTCTTTTTGCGGTTTTTTGTGACTTGAAACGTAAAATTATTTTGATGAACTATTTTATACTGACTTATCATTAACAAAATCGTTCAATGCACTTTTTGTGTATGTATTATGGAGGATATAGTAATGAATGGCTTTAAAAGTAATCATGGATTGCAAATCAAAATAAGATTACAAAAAATATTATGATTGAACGATAACTTGAAGGCTTGACACAGATTTATACGAAATAGCCTTAAGAATTTTAAGAGATCCAATCGGATCTTCCCTCTTGTTGACATAGAGGTGACTGAGGGATTAGAGGTGCGAATTTAACTGCAAAATTCCCTAAGGGCTGTAGGGGACACCAGGCGCTCTACGCATAAAAGAGGCTGAATAAATTACGATTTTCCCGGATTAAAAATGATTACCTTAAATGCCTAGTTGGATCAAATATTTGAAGTCAAAACGTATTGATTTGGATTTCACTTGTATAAAAGTTTGCTTTTCTATTTTCACGCTAAGTATTTGCTTGGTAAGAAATAATCTTCAAAATTTTTAAGAAAACTTGAAGTCGCGAAAATATTGAGAGCAAATTTTTGAGTAAACTCCATTTTAGCCAAGCTATCCTTCACACTAACCGTTCTGAGTTTAGAATACGTAAACGTCAAATAGTTGCATAGTATCTTAGTGCAACTAGATATCGTTATTGTTGTAATAACGGAACATGTTCATTGTTGCAGTGTCGACGGTGGATGTGGACGCGGTGTTGGGTCGTACGGCGTCTCTCCCTTGTGACGTCACACCCGACGCTAATGAAGACAGGGTCTATATGGTGCTGTGGTTCCGGAAGAGTGGGGGCAAACCTATATATAGGTAAGTAATAGAGAATTTATATAAATTATGGAAGATACAGTGTTAAGTGGGTTTTTGGTTTCCATTAGTTCTCCCTGGTTGGCGCCACTTACGAATAAAATCCTGCTGTCAATCAAAATATACTTAGTTGTTATTTTAGTCAACTTTCTATAATGCTTGTGTGGTTAATTTTATACAATACAGTTTTTTTAGTATTCTTCGTAAAATCCAATACCTATAAGTAGAAAATTATGAACGACAAAATGTCCGTCATATAAACGCTTGACTCTCTGAATAATGAGAAGTAAAATAAGTGCACCTAAAATACTGTCCTTGGCGTCCTTCGCAGTAGGTAGGGTAGCAAATTAACCTAAAAGCTCATGCATAACTTATTATCCAGGAAAAATTTGTAAGGAATCGAAATTTTAACTTTTAGCTTATTAAAGTGGAGTACGCTTCAGATGAAGTTCTGTAATTTAAAACTTAAACGTAGCTTTACTTAGTCTCTCTGATAATATGATTAGTTTCTATAAAAAACTGCTAGTACTACGTAAGTTTATAAAGTAATTTGTGTTAGATTTTTTACTCTCACAAATATTCAGGGTGCGTTTTCAAACACATAGTTTTACATTTATTACTAACAGTAGTAGCCTGCATATCATTAAAGAACTGAAATAGAATCATATTTTAGGTAGTCAATAACTCAAATCAAAACAAAATATTTATTTGCTAGAATACAATATGGTTTACAGGAAAGACCTTATAACCTAAGAGTCACTGTATTCAGCCGGCAAGCAAGTGTCCAAATTATTTATATTATGTATGTCATTATTCATGGAATCAGTTATTATTATTTATCATGTAAAGATTTTATAAATTCGATTAACATAATTATTACCATATTTAATTGATGTTTAGGTGGAAAACTATGAGAGTACATCTAAAGATTGTGCACAAAAACTTTACAGTCATGTTTTTAAAATGGTGTTTCTTGATATCGCTACATACTTTAATTATCATGATTTGGCTTACTCCCGTAACTGTTTGACGAGGAACTCAACTAGTTTCAAGGCACGTGGCGACCGTCGCGGTGCTACTGGCTACACGAGAATAAGCTGAAAATGTGATACACAATTTAGTATGTCTCACAAAACTTCTATATAATATAAATGCGACCTACTTGTTAAATAACCGATATTCGCATTTACTCGCTAGCCGCTACTTACGTATGTACATAATATATTAATGACTTCAGTCATAACAAACATAATATGCTGCGCATAAATCTTTCATATAAATAGGTAATGTAAGTATTCAGTATAAATTACTCACCGCATTTAATTAATGGATTACTGAAGAATTGACTTAATGAACAGACACACAAAAATATGTAATAATTAATTACATGTCGTACTTTTTCCACATATGAAAAAAATTGTTTTAGAAAGTCCCTTTTTCGCTTATGGCGAATTTGTGCGATATTTCAATTCATTGATAAAAATAATGAAAATGATGATGTGATATTTAGTTGGTATATGATCGATTAAGTATGTAGTTCAATGTCAAAGGTCAAAAGGAAATAAGCAATAACAGGTTTATTTCCCAGTTAATATTCCCTCGTTTAATCCTATGTAGGTAAATCCAGACTTATAGATCTATGTCATAAATATGTAAACAAATAAAAACAAAAGAACAGTCACTTTACACTAAATTAAAGAACAATATCACTAGATGAGACAGCAATGATTCTAAAGCCAGAAAATCCCAAGTTTTATAAGCCAGTCCAACTTGGAAAACACAGATAGTCTCAACGCTAATTCCAGTTGGGCAGAGCCTTACAAAAACTTTGTGAATACGTATTTAATTAATAGCATAAAGTCGGGCCTAATGAAGCGTTCGGTACCTTAAACGGATGAACGAAAGCCGAGCACGACCGATCCAATTAACGTTTGAAACACACCTACATCGTACAGGGAAACACACTTAAGATGTCATAGCTCTCGTTAAGGAAATCACACTTGACGACGCCGGTCCGAGGACTTTCCATCAATGTCCTCATGATGTGTGCTTTCACGTCATTCACTGGTTTACTACACCTTGTACACGTGTTTTATTAAGATTTTTATGTGTTTTGTAGAAACGTACATAATAACTTCACGCCTGTATTCCATGGGCGTAAGCAGAGACTAGGGAATGCCAATTACCACGATTCCTACATACTTCTTTCGCTTCATCAACAGTCATCAATCTTTTCATGCATGTTCGTCGGTTAAGGGTACTTCTCATTTGGCCCTTCTTTAATATATCGCCAATCTGGTCACAATATGTCCATTCATATCCGCTCTGTATACTTCTTTCGTTACTCTACTTCCATCCATCCTTTCTACTGTCCCAGCGTAACATTCCCATTTCAATCCTTGTCTTGTTTTGTAGATAATATAGTATATAGTGTTAGAGTATTGAGATTGTCAGCAAAATTAAGACGTATGTGTTTTACTCTTCAGCTATGTGATAATATGGGTTAGCTATAACAGCTACACACCTATTTTAACACGGTATACCAAAATCTATATTCTATTCTGCTACTTACAGTCCCTACGGAATAATACCTATACACGTGTTTAGGTACACCTATAATCCTAAAGGTACAAGGTCTAAAAGCTAGACGTCGTAAAATATACACTATATACTGAGTGTACAAGAAAATAGATCCTTGACGTGGGACAAAATGTAACAGCATAAAGATGAATGAACCAAAGAAAATTTTAATCAAGTAGCAATCAGTTTATTAATTTCCTGTCTCAAGCAACTCAAAGAAATTAAGTAAACATTTATTTAAGTATCAATTAATTTTGTTCATCCTTTACGCGAAACGGGAGTATACGTTATTACCGTCTCGCGTAATAAACTGGAAACAGCGAACAACTGCTTACATAACCAAAACAGTTGTGTAGATAAAATCCCCATTATATCCTTACAATTGTTTATAATTGCTATTTTATATCAGCAATAGGGCGAAACGAATACTTTGGAGAGATAATACCGTCATAAACTGCGAGCTCGAATTGTTAAACTTACCTGAGAACACCAGGGTACGATCAAAATCATCTCATAGCTTCTTGCTTTATAAATTAGGCTGGAGGTCGGTAGATTGAGAAAATGTAGCCTGTCCGGAAATTGAAAAACTTCATCGTGTTCGGCCGTTCTTTTATTTCTAGACATCGACAGTTATTTAAGGAAAATAAATTCAGACATGGACCATACAGCTGTTTATGAGTTTTCATTACGTTTTATTGAAGAGGCAGACGCATGCGTGTGTCGATTCTTCGTTAAATTAATGTCATATGGATGACAGTGTGTGAAAGAGTAGTTTAGAGTTTGATTGATTCACGTATTTGTTAGTGTCCGTCTTGTGTAACGTATCATTGAACGTATTTTGGTTGAACGTTAGTTAATTTTGTTTTTTCTAAAGATATATTTTGATAAGAATATAATTAGACGCTGAATAAGATCGTTGATAATATTGTTGTTTACATTTCTTGGAATGCCTCGGAGTTAAATGATTTTTTATTTCAGTTTCGACGTCCGTGGGCGATCGTTCAACAAGGCCTTACAGTGGTCAGACCCGGGCGCGTTCGGACCCCGGGCCTACTTTGCAACAGTCGCCCGACCAGCAGCGCTCACCCTCAGCTCAGTGCAACTAGACGATGAAGGCGTCTACAGGTGTAGAGTAGACTTTAAGAACTCGCCCACGAGAAACTTCCAAATCAGACTAACTGTAATAGGTAAGTTCGTAAATAAAATCTAAGATACGTGCGTAGTTTATGGAACAAAGTTAGGCAAAGAGCACTTAATGAAACGAACCAAACAGAATTAGCGGCAAACAAAAATACAAGGTCAAAGCAACTGTCTAATTTCAGGTAGAATTTGAAAAGAGAAATGAAATTAGTCTAGAGCACACTTGTTTTTTCTAATATTACTCAAAACCATCGCTACCCTTCAGCTGTTAGTTTAGGTAAACTTTTCCTTCGGGTGCTTCATTATTTTAAATACAAAATTATTTTATTTCAACAAACAAGTTTCGAAACTGCTCTTTATGAAATTATGTATTCGATTATAAACCATGTAATTTATAAAAGGCTATTATTATGAGCTGTACTTACCAAGCCACGGGACGGACAAGACAATCTCGTTAAAATAAAAGTCGACTAAGTTTTAAATGAAAATTTTATTAGGCGACGACTGGGAATCAATTTAGTCATTACGGTGAATCGCGGGAGGCGCGCGGTCGCCGAGTGATGACATCGCGCAGACATTTTAATTATGAACTGTCGACTCGGGATCGGCGGGGTTGCTCAGCTGCCTCGCTGATAAAAACGATGCCCGCCGACGATGACACAGATAAAATCTGCAGGAGACAGGTTAAATTTAAAAGGAAATTAGATTTGAATAGATCAAATTGTCTGAGCGTTATCAGTCCGCCTCGCCGTACTGATCCCCTTTATTTGCTTATTAAAACGTTAGACGGAAATGGCTCACTGAATTACAAAATGACTTACTAGTTCTTTTGTATTCATTCTTCGGTAAACGCTGACACTAATTTATATTGCTCTGTTCTTTGTGTTGACCAAGAACGGAACAACATAAATTATTTTTACTGCACCACTAGCAAATACACTGTCACTATAATTAGTGTAATAATGTAGTCGAGTATTGCATCTCTTTTCACCGTTATTACTCTAATAGGTTTACTCAATGGTAGCGTAACAGTATTCTTGAGAAATATACCGACGGAAAGCATAGAAATATAAACATAGCATAGCCGAGCAAACTACCGTTGAGCTTTTCAAAGAAATTACCCTATTCAAGGCGACGAAAGACGTAGGCAAAGGAGATGAGGGAAGTAAATTTCTTTTGCGCAGAACAAAGCATTTAAAAGTAAGCCTACATCGCATATATGCAACTCCATTGAAATCCATTAGTCTGCTGGCGCCGAGAGGTAATTTGCAAGGAGCCTTTTGTTAGCAAAGGGACTGCTCACACAAAGAAATCTCTTACTTACATAATCAGGCATATTCATAACATCATAAAATATCCAATTACCATTGAGAACGGAGGGCGTTCATTAATGGCGTCAAATAATAATCAAATCTGCCGTTCGTTGGTAATATCGTGAGCGATCGCGCCCTCAGTTTTCATTCCCATATTGATATTATTATGATGAAGATTGAGATGCGATGTTATTATATTCGAAGTGGGTTTTTGTCACAGTGCCTCCTCATCAAATGCTGCTGTATGATAAGTCTGGCGCGGATGTATCTGGCGTGGTGGGACCTTTGGAAGAGGGAACCGCCTTGGTGCTAGTGTGTGAAGTTCGAGGAGGTAAGATTATAATATTCGATTACTATATTATTATATTTGGTAACTATATAAGTTGTCGTTAGATACGCTTTAGCAAAACCCCATCTAAAAATACCCGAACATACAAAATATTACAACATAAAATCAAGTTTTTATGACAGATTTTCCGCTTTTCTAACACGACGTATATTGGAAATTGAAGAGCGTCATAATATTTACAATAGGCCGGAAGTTGATTCTGAAATATTCTTGTTAGTACTAGATTTGGTTTTATTGAATGTGTCATAAAAATATTACTTTTTCCGAACATCATAATACATGGCGGAACAGTGTTATGAACCACGTATTGACATTCTACACAGCTCGGTTCACCGCTCAAAAGTTTAATATCGCCATATACGTTCACACACAAATACATTTATATTTTGTTAATAACACCCACACTGCTTTTACATTTATTGGTTGTTTTATCGATTGTTTTTTTAATGTCATGGAGTCCATTTAAATAAAGATTATATTAATTTGGGGTTTTGCTTTAAGAATTTTTCCATGGCATTTGTTAACACTGTGATTAGATTTAAAAGAGTGTGAAAGTTTTATTTTTAATGGGATTAAATGGAAAGAAAAAAATGAATCCACCCCATATTTTTGAATTTCGTGCTCAAAAAAATAAGTTAGTTCAGTTGGGTGCTTTACTTAAAACCGTCGCAAAAATATTGAACATTGGGGGAGCTCAATTTTTTCTATTGCTTGATTTCTTTTATGGAAACATTGGAAGAGATATTCCATTCGAATGGGTTCATTGAAAAGTCCGCAGTATGGCCGCCTGGCTTCGAGCCAGTGCTCGCAACGGATTATCTTCGGCCGTGCGCCCACCAATTGTGATGATGCAGCGGGCCGGACAGGGGGAGTTTAGGCTTTGACCCTGTTATCACACTCACACTTAATTATGTTGCCGAAAAATTTTCACTTCCATATCATCTTGTCTCAGTCCATTTCCTAACATAATCCATGTGAAATGTGTGGAATAAAATAACGATCATGATCTGTGAGATAAAGTCTCTGTTGTTATTTTCTACTAAACACGTCTAAAATGTTTTAAAGTTACAATATAATATTTGAATTTAGTTACCTATTGGAAAATTATTCGCCATAACACGTGTCGATTTATTGGATTCATCTTTTCTTTATTGAATTAGTTATCAAATGATATTTATGCATAATAATGAAAGTTTGTATGTGTACCATAATTAGTATTTTTTCATTCCTAGGTCGTCCCGAACCAACAGTATCCTGGTGGATAGATGGAACGCCAGCCTCCCAATACATAGGAGTCAAGACAGACACCCACGTCATCGTCAATCGCTTAGAGTTACAGCATTTGAAGAGAGAAGACCTAAACACCACGTTCAAGTGTCGAGCTTCTAATACAAACTTGGTTCCTCCACAAGAGAAAGTCGTCAGGCTTGAGATGAATTGTAAGAACTTTATATTATGCTATTTCCTTAAACTGGTATTATAAGTTTAACATTATCTTTGTCATCAACCTGTTATTAATTGCTCCTCTGTAAAGCAAACACACTACTCTCTGGGAATTACTGATTAATTTTAATCGACCTCAAAGAGGAGGATTATAATTACCTGTGTGTTTGTATGTATGTTTGTAGGTATTTTGTTTATTTATAAAACAATTGTACTCTACACACAAATATACCAATATACCCAGGATAGCTTGATGGGTCTGTTGGTTCAAGTAAGCACGCCCTTTTTAAGTCATCGTAGAAGATTTCACAACTTGTAATTGACTGAACTTTAAATACAATTAATTTCAAAATTCACAGAAGCTTAACATGAAATCTTCTCAGTAATTACATTCAAAAATATACAGTAGCAAATAGCTAATTTCTCAGGATAATGACTCCTGTGTGGCCTTTGATCTGTCTGTCAGTTTATCTGTTTGTAACACAAAGAGGTCTTCAAAACATTTCATTATGACTGACATTTATAAATACAGACAATTTTTTTTCTAAAATAACGCTGAAAACTTATTTATTTTTTCACTGTGACTATGATAATTTTAAAAATGTATGGCTTCGTGGTGGTTGTTATTGAAATATATGTTTCTCTTTTTAATATTTTTTTTATATTTTATAGTTTTTGATATAAATATAGGGAAAGTTTTAATCAGTTGGTGGGTAATTTTTATGAATACAAAAGTAAAAAAAATAGACATAATATAAAGTACTATTATATTATTAGGTATTTCTATACATGTTCTGGTTTCCCAAATTATTTAAATAGATAGATAAGTATTAATTCAAACTCCAAAAACGTTTTTGTGATCTTTGTCTATGACATACTTTTAACTTCGAATATTTTAAACAGAATTTTGTAATACTTAAATATGTAAGCCGTATAAATAGGTATCCTCTCTAGGTATCCTAAAAATTAATATTTCTAAAATTGATTTTTCTCATAAAACCACAATTTAAAAGCATTCCTGTGAACATTAATCACGGAATGTTTTTTCCACAAAGTAATTTCGAAGTTTCATTGGACTGGGGTCGTTTTGAATATTTTAATAATCCTTTTTATTTTAAAATGTAATTTAAATGAATTTGTCTTGGTCTAGACAAACGATGTGGACTAATAAAGCGGTGCGTTAAACAGATGATTCTTTAAACCTTTTTAGACATCCAAAAGGTTGAACCTTTGTAAATAATGCAAATCACTACATTAATTTATTAGGGAATTTACAAGAAGAATATACGAGAATAATAATTATATTCTTGCTGAGTTTGTTATTTAGATATATCATTAAGTCTTGTGATGTTTATTTTATGTACGGCCTTTAAAATTGCCACGTCTTTTTAGCGTTAGTATATGAGGCGTATCCATTTTACGCGGTTTGCATTCATTAATGCGCGACTGCATGGTTGGTGGGGTGGCTGGGTAACCGGCTGCCGTGCAACGTGTCGCGGCTTCGATTCCCGCACGGAACAACACTTTGTGTGATCCACAAATTGTTGTTTCGGGTCTGGGTGTCATATGTATGTGAACACTGGAGATAATCCTAGTGTAGGGCAACGATTTTTTCAAAATAAAAATAAAAAATAAAATTAATGCGATTCATGCGATGCGATTTCTTAAGACCGGTATTTTAATCAATTAATATTTATGGCACTATTCTTTTTCTTTTAGGCACCTCTTTTACATTCTTCATAGTCATCTAAATATATTTTCAATATTCTTTGCCTACATTATGAGTACTCGCATCAATTTAATGATAAACATCCCAACCAATTTGAAATTCTCGTCATTATTTGTTTAAAAAAATATCACAGATATCTCATATAAATATTTTTTCTTTTTACCAGTGGTTCCATTGTCAGTATCTTTACTCAACCGGCCACAACAGCTGCTGTCTGCTGCAGCTGCAACTCTTCGATGTGTATCAGAAGGCAGTCGACCACCAGCTCACATAGTCTGGTATAAAGACAACAGGAGTTTTGACAGAAATATGGTAAGTTAATTAAAAAGAGGAAATATAAATCAATAGAAGACATAATATATTGTGTAAATAGGTGAGGCGGTAGATAACTAACAAAGATGAATGGAGTTTGTGAAGGCTAAGATGAAGGCTGATATAACTAATATTAGGTTTACTTAATGTAAATTTTAGACAAGGACAAAAATTGGAGAAGACGATAGAAGGTTACGAAACTGTAAGACAAAAATACAGACTAGAGTTGGCGAAAACGCCATCAGAAAGAGTCTGATACTTCCCCTCGCCACACCAAGGAGGAAGAAGTCTTTCAATGATTTTCCTCCCTTAAAAAGATACCGTAACCGTGCTATTACTGTGTACGTTGAGACTCTATTTTCATGAAATAAATGACGATTTTTGTAAAACCATACAATATTGTATATACGTAAAATTAAATATTGATATGTTTTGAGTTAATGACATGAGCAATATTAAAAGCTGGTTACATACAATAATTTTATTCAATTATTTATGTATCACACCGCGATGGAGGTATAACCAAATAAATTCATAATATGTTACCAAAATAAAACCATTGGTTGCATTCTGCCATGTGAATATTGAGTTTGTAAAACACGAAACACTAAAATTGATACTGTAGTATTACATCATATCATAGTGAAAAATATAATGTTTCAAAGTATCTGACAAATTATTGATAATGGTCTCATAGTATAAAACAACATATTTCACGCATTTTTCCCCGAGGATATGAAATTACACCGTTTTTACAGTCATATTATTAATTTTATAATAGTCCTATGAAACATAGAGCGACTTTGTAGTCACGTACCGGGTATGTACTTATTTAGTTACTATTTTGTACTATTGTTCTATAGTGAAAATTCTAAAATGGCAGTTAATTGTTCCAAAGACAAAACAGCGTTTTTTAAGTGCTTGAGCACTTTTGCGGTTCCCAAGTCTTGCATCAGATCAGAGTTCTTGCTATACTTACATAATTTAAGACATTCAATATCAATGTGTTCAATAAAATTCATATCTAATTAGCTTACAAATGCCTAATCCTCTACGTATACAGTCATAACACCTCCACCTCCATATAAAAGCTAGGCCCACTTTGTATTAATTTGCTTCTATTCACGTCGCTGGCTTTGTATCTAGTTGAGTTGGTCAATCCGTTTGTCCGGAAGACGCGTCCTCGGGCCGACACTACGTGATCCCTTTCCTAAGACCGGTCGTGGTCACACCGTTTGGATTCAACGACTATTTTCCCACTGTGAATGCGAAATTCGACGATGAAAGTTTTAAGTGTGTATCCTGTTTATTACATAACAAAGACATAGTACAACGAATCTCAATTCTTTTCTCTTCGTCATTTCATTGGTATAGACTGTAAGTGACCCGATCCTAATGCCGACGTTATATGTTAATCGAGACCGACCACTTTGCATTCACTGAAACCTATAAATAGTCAAACATCCACCAACTAACCACGCCAGGTGTAGTTTATCTTCAGTCGTGTTACTCAAATTGTCTCTTTGCTCATTCAATTCCACGCTAAATGTAACTACGTAAAATAAAACACGAGATTAAAATGAACAAAACCAGTCATAAATGTACGCCATACGTTCCAGTAAAAATTCAAAAAGTTTAAAAACGTTAATCTTTTAGTAACGAATGTGGTAAAAATTCGCTTCACAAAATGTACAGTTACTTGTAATTTGTTCAACGTCCAGCGGTCTTATTTGAGCGGAACGCGGCAGGTAATCCCTCAATTAACTTCCATTCTAAAGCTAAGCACGCACTGTGGCTTTTAAATCGATTGTCGCGTTTTATACTCGGATTCGGTCACTGATGGACTTTGATTTAGCGCTCGACTAATTGCGCTGCGACCGTCCCAGCTTATACAATAGCTTACAGAAATGGGACTATTTCAAATCCGTTTGCGACTTTTTACACGATTTATATCGAGTTCTACTGAAATATTGCATTCGTTGTGTGCAAGCTGATTTACTGAAACTTTATCAGCAAAGTCTCAATTTCGAATGAATTTTCGTTCGTCGTAGAGATTCCAATAAAGTTTCATTAAAGTGCAATATTCGGATTAATTGTGGTTCCATTCGTATCTGGTATGTTGTGGCTTAATAACATCCCCATCTGATATCTTTATTTAAAGCAAATTTCAGTTTCGAACATTTCTATTAATCTGAGAATCCAGTGGTTACGTGGTCAGCATAATATTAAAATTTCAAATTGAAGTTATATTTGAAACCGCACTTTATATACATTTTTAAATTTTGAACGTGTTTGTTCAGGTTACGTACTATTTAATAATATCTGGCTTGATGTTGAAGTAACTTTCGACGAGTATGGCTAACGTTCATGACATTTCATCAACATTAGTGAGTGTACAATTTGCCAATTAGCCAATTTGACCTGTGAAATAAAACTTAATTTCCTTTAACAGTTTGCCTTTATGATTTTACGATTGAGAAAAAGCTGCTCCTTTACTGTAATCTTATTTTTCTGCAAGTTTGCCCGAAACAACCATTTCCAAAAGCTATTCAATTTTATCGTGCCTCTCTGTCATTTTACAAAAAAATTGCAGTGACAGAACTATTTAAGCACGACCTAAAATTGAGTAGCCCTTCAGTATTACGGGCGATAATCGGTAGTTACACAATAAGTGAATTGTGTTCTCAAAATCATATTATACATATTCAAACACAATAACTAAATCTTTAGTTTCGTTATGATTTATTTTATTTTTACCAGGTAACAGACCATTCAAACGAGACGTGGTCGGTCAGTACGTTGGTGTTCAGCCCAAGTCCTGCTGACAACGGAGCTATAATCAAATGCGTGGCTGCCAACCCCAGCTTACCCACCAAGTCAATAGACGACCAACTACAGCTCAACGTTGTATGTAAGTATTATGTTTAATGTGTGTAGTTTACAAAAAAAAGAAATGCCATGGACTTACTCGTATTGAGAGTTTTGATGTACTTTGTAGTGTTCCGAATAAAATAATATGCTGCCATTATTTTCATTGATGGGTATCATACCTGCAATAAATTGTAGCTTATTGTAATTATTGGTTAAATCGCCAACCCACATTGAGCAAGCCATGTGATTATTGCTCAAACCTTTCCGCTCTGAGTAGAGGTCTTGACTCAGCAGTAGCCACTTAAATTTATTTATTTATTTATTTTTAAACAGTCACAATGTCAGAAAACCCAATTACAGTAACTGACAAAGGAAGACTGTTGATTTGTGATATTGATATTACAATTTTATTATAACAAGTGAGATCGACTGCTTGAAAACAAATAAGGTCGAAACCATAAGTATATACGCAAACCAGTAAACGTTTAATAGATTTTACAAAAAACTAAAATAAGGTATTCAAAACAAAAATAAACTTAGAATGACTGCTGAATCATAATAAACACAGACTAAATCCATATTTATTTAAAACATTAAACACTCTATTGACGTAATTCCCAAAATATGTCGTGAACCATAACACTGAACGCTTAATTAAATTGTATCGCAACGAACAATTTAATTTCATCAACTATAACAAGGTTTGAAAGCAAACTTTAGGTATGTACCACGTACCTAATAGTGGAGCACTTGCTATAATGCTCAGTATTGTATCAATTTCTCATAATCATTTAGCTTGATCTAAGGATAAAATTAATATAGTTCAAAGAAGTTTTCTTTGATAATATTGTGATAAATACCCCATAGGACAGTCGCTACGACAGCTAATTGCGAATATCTGAGCTTATTGGACCTTAAATTAATTTTCCTTTGCAGTGTGAGTAATATAATTAGTGATAACATTTTCCATCCGATATTGGTTCTTATTAAAAAGGATGTAGTGACTTTAATTAATTACACTGCATCTCTCTTTTTGCTTTATGTTTATAATCCTTGTTTTTCAACTTGATTAGAATGTTATTAAATATCAGTTCTCGTTGCTTTTATTGCATCATTCCAGCGGATGTTGTGTTTTTTACACTTTATTCTTATGTCCATACCATACATTGCTTATACTCCCTTTAGATATTACACTGCATAGTTTTTTTCTTTATATTGGTATCAAGTAGACGTATGTAAACAGTTACACATCTTTTTTTTGTTTTTACAAACACAGGAGAAAATCTTTACAAACATACAAGTTTAAATATTTAGTACTAGTATTTAACTACTCAGTGCATAGTATTTTCTTAAAGAATTGTAAGTGTCAAAATGTTCACTACAATAACACCCAGGTGTACATAACACATGAAACAACAAAATACATGGTCATAAATCTAAAAGCGTCCCGAATAATGTACGTTGTTTGTGCAATATTCTGTCAACTAATATTATAAATGTTGAATCCAGACAGTCCCCTAGTGTCACTGACGCTCGGGAGTACGCTCAACCCTCACGACATCAAGGAAGGCGACGACGTGTACTTTGAGTGCAACGTGCGCGCCAATCCTAGAGAACATCGCATCTCCTGGTTCCATAACGTAAGTTATTAATTGTTGATATTATGCTAGAACTGCACCGAAATACGAGAGACGAGAATAGTGGCGAAATAATGAGAGAACATTATAATGAGTCGCGTTTTGAATGAACTTTTCATGTATATTGCCACTGTGTTTCAGTTTTACCTCAAAATACGAAATATTTTTAGTTCCAAAACGGTTAGTATGTTTATACTGCGTTTGTCTTTTATATTTGAATTCTAGTTTTCATTTGACTTTTCTGGGAAAAATACTTACAAAAATGTTCACATATTCGTGATTTCGTTCAATTACCACGTGATTATTTGTAGAGTATTGCTAAGCCATTCAGATTAGAAAAACGCGTCGTTTGCATTCCCAGTTTATAGCTCTCGTTAGTGCTAGTTAAATTTGTTTGAAGCTCGTAAAGCGAAATCGGCTACAGTTGGCAATTTTATGGCATTTCCTATTCATCGTTCTTCGTAATGTTTGCTTGTTTTTATTATATTGGTTTAAAGTGAAAATCTTTTTTTAGAACGACTGAACACGTAATTCGACTAACCCGTCACAGACTGTCGAAATTTATTTAGGATCTTGTAACGTCTTTGAAGATACAAATAAACATAAATTGGCTTAACTTGTCGGAACGGGATTAAAGCGTAGCCAAAGTCGTAACTTGTAGTCGCCATTTTACTTCTAATATCCAATCCCTTTTACTTCTAATATCTAACACAACTGTAATTTCTGCAGGACAGGCCAGTGAGTCAAAATATGACGTCAGGCATTATAGTCAGCACGCGGTCACTAGTTCTACAAAAGGTGACGAGAAGAGAAGCTGGTAGTTACTCCTGCAAGGCGGCCAACGCGAGAGGGGAGACTTCCAGCAAAGTAGTGACCTTGAGAGTTCAATGTAAGTATCACTTATACAAATAAACCTAAAAACAAGTTAATGACCTTTTTCTTCTCTAAAACATAGTTACCTCAAGTATGAATATAAAATAGATACTTATCTATTGTCAACTAGAGGTGAAAATTGAGCTTGCATTTAAATTTTGTATTCAGAAGATTTTCATAACTTTCATAAAGATGAGGAGATTTTAACTACATTTACGATAAAGTACACCCTATTACTTATGATGTGTTTATGAATACATTTATAGGAATATTTTGTGGAGAATCACAATGTATTGTTTATTTAAGTAGTGAAGAAACTGCAGTTAATATTGTAAAGGTCAGCTAGCGACAATCTTCAACTTTATATTTTTGTTACGTTTGAGCCGTGACTTTGACGACAAATACGAATTTACGCTTCCAGACACTCTTTGTACTTTTTGTTAAGCCTGAGGGCCTGCGCCCCTTTAAGCTAGTAGGGTATACTGAGAAACATCCCTTAATTTTCTTTTTATGTCAAACTTCTTCAGCACTTTCCCGTTTTAATACATTTTAACAACAAATCGGAACAAATCCTTTGATTCTTGTTGTTATGATTATTGCCCGAATTAATAATAATCTGTGTTATTAATAAATTAGCTATTTGAAAAACATTCCTTTCGTAAGTCGATATTAATGTATTAACATTTTAATTTCACCCCCTAACAATCAGTTAGCCTTGAGCGAAGGTAGCGACATCAAATTATAACAGGCACACTAGACACTTCATTTGCATATCCCTAATCCCCGGTAATATACATCGGACACACAGGCATCCCATAAAATGTCACCGAGCACAGTATGAATTACTGGCCTATAAATACCGACGTGTCTGCGAATAGTATTCAAATGATTGCGGTCGGGATCGACGTACCAACTTCCTTCCGTGGCCGACCGTCCGCATAGTAATTGGCACGAGGGAAGGCGGTACCGGCGGTAAATCATCAAAATTATTGTCTAATATTACTACGATTCTCTTCGTACCTCCTCAATCTGCTGTTCCGTGGCTTCGCTTTAATACGCTCAGCTTTGTATCGTTTGAATAAATTTTATTTCCATCCTATAAGCATACATTTGTTTCAGCAGTACGTAATACGTGGCTGTTGAGATTTATGCACAAATTATTTACATGAAACAAATCAAGATAGTATTTCCAGAAACGATTTATTGAATAATAAAACTCGTACACGCCTCCGTTTCTATGAAAAAATGTGCCATGATGTCGAGTTACGAGACTAAAAGGACAATTTTGTTCATTACTTTTAATGGTTGAGTACCTACTTATTTGACTTGCTTTTCAATTCAAAATATTATTAATGGATATTGTGACTTTGTTTCACGAATCAGCGGAGACGATTAATGAAATTCCGTTTGTGGAATTCAAAACAATTTTACTAATTACCAAAGTTAAATAAATTTTAATAAACAAAAGGTTGTTACGTATTTACGTTCGCAGTATTCGTATTCATTTTCAATAACGGGAGGTGAAATCATTTTTACATTTTCAGATTAAATTATGTAAAGAGCAGCAGCGTATGGATTTGGAAGCGGTTACGCTAATGTAATTAATTCAAAACTTTGCAAACGGATCCATCGTACTGGGAAAACACAGGATCCTATTATAATTAGAGGGTATATGTTGATTATACATGGTCGTACGTAAATCAACAACAACGTCCACCGTGTGATTTATTACACAATTCTATATTGGAGCATCGAGGAGCTTCCTTCCGAGCTCCACTGGCCGACACTTAATTGCCGACGTGAGAGGGAAGACGAAATAATTCGTAACTGCCGAAATAATTGTTCATTTGATTTATATTTATCGCTTTATGACAGGAAAACTGGTCGTTGGAGTTTTTAAATTTATGGATATTTTATGCTTGTTATTTAGGAGGCCGTTGTGGGGTAGCAAAGTTAACGATGTACCGGGTATTTGCCTAGTATGCAAATGTTACCAAATTGTAGTATACCTATCACGTCCGGCTCGGGCCTTTTCCATTTCACGATATTTTGCTAGCAAATATTCAGTCGATGTGCTCTTTATCAGTGTCCCGATCTTTAAATGTATATAAAACGAAATCAGAAAACATATGAATATTTGTTTCGTGAGCTATTTTTAAATAAACGATAGGTACAGCTTCGTTTTGTGTCTAATTTGGTCATGTGAGTAAATAGAAGAGAAATTTGTCATTTTATTTATACGAAACAAGGCATTTTTCTTTTTATTATGAAGCCTTTTGTCTCGGTATCTGAATGTTAAAGTCACTTTGTATATGTACAGGACAAATGATCCAAGTGGGCGTGTATGTTACTACTAAAAATGAGTATTTTGACATTTATAAGGCCTGTAGCAGATAGGCGGAGAACCCTGGAAGAAATAAATATTAATACTATATAAGTGTATAAATATATTTATTTATACCATGAGGGTGAAATTCAATATTAACGTTAAAATAATGGGGCAAGCAACAGTACATAATGCAATTGCTACGGCGTAGCTGACATTACGGCTACGCTGCGTACGCTGCAGAGTAAGAGAGTAACTTCCTCAAAGTTGTCACAATATCACACATGGAAAATATCGTCTAATTGTATTATGATACAGTTAAAGAATATTTCCGTAAAATACTAATACTGTTCAGCATTATATTTATGTCTGTGGACCATAGTTGCCTGATAATAAAGGTTTAAATAAAATAAATAAATTTTTTTCTAACATTATTATCTGTTTATACTAAACATATATATTAACTGTACTTAATAAACTTATACTTACTAGACTATATATTATTTTAAATCAGTGGAAGTTCTGAAAACTACCACAAATCTTATTGTTACTATTTCAATAGATGCTCCCGTATGTGGTGAGACATCACCACAAGTAGTGGGTACGGCACTCGATGAAGCGTTGCGCGTACGCTGCTCAGTGCACGCCGATCCTGCTGACGTCACGTTTCTGTGGCAGTTTAACAACAGCGGCGAGAGTTTTAACGTCTCGCCTGCTAGATATGGTATGTAGAGTTTTGCAATATTTACGGTTTATCATCATAATTATTAGCCTAAGCAACAAAAAATATGGAATATTCCATTAACTACTCATGAAAAATATTTCAAAAGTACAGGGATTTTCCTACATTATCAACGTAACTTCTATAAAAAATCGTTCATTGTCCACATCAGTAGACAGATTTAATCTCAGCACCAAAGCTACTTGAACAACTCTATATAAACATCAGTATTTTTCAAGAATAACATTATCTTTTAAACTACACAAAATCAGAAAAGTATTCAACCTTTCAAGGAAATGTTTAGAAAAATATACCTAAAGACCTTGTAACAAATTATCTTTTTCTTTGAAACTTAGATTGTTCGTGTAGTCTTTTAAAGAAATTCCATTTCCGAAGTGCGGTTCGTTACATATTCAGGACGGTTGCTATGAGCATGAGGTGCTGATTGAACTGTCTCGAGTACTTGCTGCAAACACTCGACTTGCGCGACAGTTGGCCACTCGACTGTATCTAAATGAACCTAATTATTATAATTCCACTATTCTAGTGACTGGTCATTTCTTGAATGCTCTTTTCGTTTTGTTGGAGTGAAGAGATTAATATAGTTAAAAAATTAAATAATAGAGTTTACAATAAAAAAATGTTCGAATAAATACACCCTCGTCTGTTTGAAGTCAGTTAATTTTTTATTATTGTATTTCGGCTTACTCACATAACTGTCTCGTTGGCCGAGTGGACGCATGTGCGATTGCCGGGCAAGGGGTCTCGGGTTCGATTCCCGGGTCGGGCAAAGTATTACTGGGTTTTCACAAAATTCTTAGTAGTAGCACGGAGTCTGGAATTGTGCCCGGTATATGGCAATAGGCTCACCCCCTATTACATGGGACTCATAACATAAATAGTGAAAAGTGGGTGTTACATTGTACAGTGGCATAATGTGCACCTCTGCCTACCCCTTCGGGGATAAAAGGCGTGATGTTATGTTATGTCACATAACTGTTTGACGAGGAACTCGCTAATTTCAAGCCATGCTAGAGCCTCATATTCATGAGCAGCATTCCGCGACGCGGCGACTGTCGCGCTGCTACTGGCTACTAGAGTATGCTGCGGTGCGGTTAATAATTATGATGTGTTAAATTATTTAATCAAAATCTGTCGTATTATTAGTATGGCTGTCATGGTGATTATTTACATTCTATAAATTCTAAAAGAGATAATAATTTGGAATCTATCATTTCTATAAATGTGCAACTGGTATAAACATTTAATTCGCTGTAATTTAGTATAGTTGTAAGCTCGTATGTTTGTCACATAGGTACAGTAAATGGCAGTATAAGCGAACTTCGATACACACCAGCCAGTGAGCGCGACTACGGAGCGTTGACCTGCCGCGGTACCAACACAGTGGGCAGGCAGGCGCAACCCTGTGTCTTCCAAATTGTTCCAGCTGGTGAGTGATTTTCTGCGAGATATCTAGTTTCTTCGAGATTTCTTGTAATACTTTAATCAATTTTTCATAGTTGGCGTTTGAATTACGTTTTGAAGTTTAATTTATTCTGACCAGCACCCCTTATAAAGGCTGGCAACGAAATGTAACTCCTTCGGTATTGTGGGTGTCCATGGATGGAACTATACTTACTATTTATTGCGTAATCCGTCTGTTCGTATGTTCTACGTTTTCCATAAAAAAAACTTTCGAAACATCTTTGACAGGTTATAAAAATCTGTTAACATTATACAGAGTTTCAGTTTTAATAAGTTGGTTTAAAAAAGCGTGCATACACAATGACTTTTAAACAGACCATCCGAGAAGTTTCTTGAACATGAAGTCTTTAAATTATGCACAATTCTTGATCAGAACTATCAGAACTAATAAAGAACAATTTAAAACAAATATTCCAATTTTCTCGCAAAGAAGAAAGTCAAACATAGGAAATGAGACGAGAAGCGTGGAACAAAGTTTCCAAACTATTTTTGTCTTGAGCCAAAATCATTTTAGCTCCACTACTTTGACGTTAGTCTTTGCTTTCAATCGACCGTAGCTACTAAAATTGTATAAATTAATAGGTTTGGAGAGGATTTTACCAATATTTGATGAATACAAAAAATAAATTGAGTTACAATTTATTTGGTCATTTTGAGATTTCATTTCTTCAACATCGTCGTTCTACGGCTGAGACCTCTTCTGACATAATAGAAGGGAATAAACAATAATGAGCATTAGTTACGATGCTTGCTCAAGGCGAATTAGCAATTTTTAACTCACAATTTGAAGTTATAAGTGCAGGTTTTCCTTCTTCACGAGGTTTTCCTATATTTTATGTCAGTGGAGTTTATATAACCTTGACAACATAACGTCACACTAATATTATAAATGTCAAAGTTTCTTTATTTGGATGTTTATGCGTCAATCACGCTGAAAGTACTGAACAGATTTTGATGAAATTTGGTATGCAGACAGGGTATGGGCTGATTTAAGTGATAGGATATCCCGGTAAAATGGTCAATGGGATAAAACAGGAATCATATTCGACACGGATGAAGTCGCGGGCAACAGCTAGTTGTCTATAATCATAACTTCATTTCTTAGCTCGGCCGTCACCACCGAGGAACTGCACAGTTTCTGCTGGCAATGGTTCCAATTGGATCGAGGACTCGAATCGAGAGGACTATGGCGAGCCTCTGACTGTGCGCTGTGTCACCGGCTATGATGGAGGTCTACCTCAGCTGGTAGTGTTAGAAGCATTGGACTCGGAAAATGGGAAGATCAGGTTTAATGTCACTGCTAATGAGACGGGTAAGGATTTTGATAATGGTTTTGCATTTTTGTTACCCTACTTAACAAAATCGTTAAATGATGAAAGTAGGTAGTAGGGAGTAGTGAAAGTAGGTCAAAATGTCACATTCATTTCTGTGATATCTCAAAATCTTTCTAAATTTTTCTTTATTCAGATCTATGGTCCACCGTTTTAAACCACCTCAATTCAAGATTCAAACCAATAAATTGTTCGTTAAGTTATCCAACTCCACTCCAAAAACAATAACTCATTCCATACCAGTGGACAAGACAAACGTTTAGCATCGTCAATTATTATAGATGTTAAACCATAACAATCTTCTGCGCAATTAACCCTTTCAATTATATCGCGCTGTAGACGGTGTAGCTGTATTCCTAGTACCGGCCGGGGTGCTATGGTCCAGTGGCAGTGCACTCAGGTTGACAGTGCATTCGAGGAATGATAAAGGAGCTTCGGACCGCATCATGTTGCATGCACTTGCGTATCAAGACCCTGAGAGAAGGACAGGTATGTTATCCAGGTTCATACAATACTTTTTTGGTTTTAGTTTAGTCTTTTTACTTTATGTGATATGGTACTGAAGAAAAGTAAGGTTAAATTAAATGTTAAATTAAACAAGATTAAATAATTGTCACTGTGCCAGATTAGAATTGAAGAACATTACATCATCCGAAAAAGTCGTAATATAAAATTGATAAACTGTATAATTAAACATCCAAAAATTGTAAATTAAAATTGTTGGTAGACACCAAATTTTACAGGAAGTCAATAAATATCCGACCGTCGAACGAGGACACCGTATTTAGGGTAAATCTCACAAATTTTAAGATAAATTAATTGGGAATTTCTCAAACCCTTTTTGGCCGACAAACTAATTTCATGGCGTATTACCGGCTAGCGCAATTTGCCATTGATAGGAAGATAATAAGCAAGCAATCTGGTAGATAGCTAAACGTAAATTTAAACCTGCTTAATAACACGAATACTCTGTCTCACTCATTCTTACTGTTTTAGATAGTACTAGAGCGAGATAGCAAAGTGTAATTACGCTAATTCACCGTCTGACATTTAATGTCGTAATATTCCCTACTAATAATAATGTAACGGGTGTCTGTTGTGGTTAATTTACAAAATATATTCATCATACATTTAATAATTTTGTTAATATTAATGGAATTCCTAAACATTTTAGTAATAAAATATCTCTCGCAAGAATGAGGTCTGATTTTAATAATACGATTGTTCTTTTATCGTGGGTTCCACTATACAAATATTATTAGTAGAAGAGGAGCACAGACGTAAAGTACACATTCATATAATTAAAAACAAATTTCTTCTAAATTGTAATTTTTCTGTTCTGAAAACTACGTAATACATGGCCTCAACAATGACAGTTTAAGGCTTGTCTGATGGATATTCAAATTCTGCGTTAAGTTCTGTGATTAGTTTTAGTTTTTGCTTCGACGAATTGAGGTTTTTAACTATTGATTTTTTTTTTCTTTTCCTATGTATTATTTTATGTTTAATATGTTAGATAAGACACTTTCTATACTAACATTAACTTACACACAATTATTCATTTTCAGTGCAAAAAAGAATAAAGATACTGTGTTGAATAAATAATATAAACGATGTCTTTATAGTGATTAAACGTGTCTAAACATATTATAATTTAAACACACGTAGCTTTAAAATTATCATGTATCGCTTTTATAATAGAGTTCATTATTGTATGGCTCTTCTAAAAAACCAACCAATGTATTTTATACGTAACATGAGCATAATGATGCATTCGCTTAGACTACGCCTTTAAAAATCCTTTGAAACATAAAGGGATGAGTTTGTATGTATATTCAGATAATAATTAATTTTGAAACTCGTTTCATATTTGCGTTTGTGTTGGAAAAATGTTGTTTTTTTTTGTGTCTGAACTTACATACCTACAGTGACTGCTATAAGAGCAGTTAGTACCTAGTTGTTAGATTATGTATACAGTGAAACATCAGTACTGGAACTCATGCTGAGGTCCCAACACTTTGGCACTGAATTACCTCAGTTAGTGGGATGAGGTAAACCTCTATATCTAGGATTTGTTCTTTCGATTTATCATCATAGTTACCTCTATAACTGAGACAGCGAGTAAATTTTATATGCATAAACCTCTGTAACTGAGATAACAATATTGTTTGTTTACTCATTCTTATTCTACCCACAAATTCCACACGTAATTCCAAGTCCACCTCTATTAATCGAACCCTCTGTAAATGAGACAGATATTTATTTATACCTGTATATCTGAGACACTGGGTAAGTGGAATACCTCTTTAAGTGAAACGACATTGCAGGTCCCTTGATGTCTCACTTAACTAGGTTTCACTGTATTTGATCACGGTTTTCTTTAACTTTGGTTTTTTTTTCAATGATGCTAAAATAATTATTATACTTGGATAGAAATTTTATCAACGTTTTGTACAATTTTCTCCACAAACTTTCTCAGATACAACACGAAATTCCGTATACAAAACAAAACACATATATAAAATACATTATACTGAAAGAGTATACACTTTTTATATGATAAAACAAGTGTTATCTATTTTGTAATATCGTAGATGGTGGCAACAGTCTAATGGCCGGTGTCTCGAAAGCTGCTTTCTGGTCGATTATCTTCACTGCCATAATCTGCGGATGCGCGGCCATTTTCACGGGATATTTTCTACGAAGAAAAAGGTAAGATTATAAAAAATGTTATATGTATTATATAACATGAAGTTGCTTCATCACTTTTCTCTAGAAAATATATTTTTCATTATAAAAAATTAATAGCTTCCACAAAATAGTTATAAAATACGTCTTAATTACGTGTCATTTTGCCAAATTATAGAATACCAGATGAAATAATGTACAAACCAATATTCTGCAATATAATTATTTAAAATACTCATGTTTGCAATTGGTAAACATGACTATTGTTAATAAGGCAACTTTTTACTTTTTTAAAACGTTGCCCAACCATAGAGTTTTCTCCTCTCTCGTGGGTGCGTTTACAAATATAGATACATACGCATGACACCTAGATCCGAAACAACGATTTGTGGATCAAGTGAAACAAGTGAATTAAATATTTCTGCAAATAGGCTACAAGGCAGCACTTTTACACGTCAATTTTATCAAGCAAACGATGAAGTCGACATTTCCTAACTGATAACTGATCACACAAAGAGTTGCTCCGTGAGGGTATCGTAGCCGCTACACGTAGCGCGGCAGCCAGTTGCCAAGCCACCGCGCAAACTCTGCAGTCATTCGATTAATACAATTTTTATTCGACCTAAAACCTGCATTTTAAATAAGCACTTATTTACTTGTGCTCGGACCGAACCTTCTTTAACTAAAATAAGAAAAGAGTATGTATGTTAGTAGCATCATAAGTGTTATGTCATGCAATAAAGCAAAACATTCCTTCTATGTTACAATTCCATTAACTTTAGGTAACCTCTTCTTTATTTAATGATAATGCTTTACGTGTAATGTTACATTTAACGACTTGTTTATGCACGAAATGTTACACCCAACATTTTAATTTCATATGCTCTTTTCTCACCTGTCTGAAAGATTACTTGACAAACATGCCTCTCTTTTGTTTTTAATAGCTATTTTTTACCTTATTAACAGATAAATCAAAGGTTTATGAAACCTATTTGATAAGTATACACATAACATCAAGCTGTTTATCCTCGAAGGGGTAGGCAAAAGTGCACATTACGGCACTTAATGCCACTCTAAATTGTTACACCCACTTTTCACTATTTGTGTTATAAGTCCCATGTAATAAGGGTTGAACCTATTGCCATATACTGGGCACAATCCCGGGCTCCATGTGACTATTGATAAATTTAAAAAAACCCAGTAATACCTACTTTCCAGAATCCGAAACCCCTTGACTAGCAGTTGCACTTGCGACCAGTCGGCCGACGGGGTATATGAATTTAGGTTTAGATTATTATAGTTTAGATCTGAATAACACAAATAGAGGTTACGTTTTAGACATAATCGAATTTGAGAAAATTCTCAGTAAGTAGTTCCAGGACAAGTAGTCAAAGTATTTCAATAATGTTCGAGTGTTTAGTTGTATACACGAACAATGGCTATAGACACTCACATAAATGCGATTTTGATTCCTATGTCGGACATAATAAAGTTTCAGCTTTTCGGAAATTTGTAGATGGTACCCGGAACGTACCAGCACCTCAAATGGGTGTTACATTGTAAATGTGCACCTCTCTGCCTACTCCTTCAATCAAAAACTTTGCTATATTTCTCAATACTTCCATTCTCATATATTTTGTACATCATTAAACTTTAAAACTTGCGATCCAAGTTGCGCATGTACTTGCAATCTGAATAACGTCAACATGCATGTTTGCTCACGTTCCGAGTGACGAACATTGCTCTAACACTACTCGTATACAGTCACTGCAACTTGACAAAAGTTCAACTATTGTACGAGTGAAAACGTGTAAAACGTATGTACTACATAGAAACCTTTGTACGTATTTTCGTATGTATTTATGCATGTATACGTATGTATGTTTGTATCAAGTGCTTTTTGTTTAACGTTTTTGTGGAGAATCCGGTTCTGTGTAAATAAAATGTAAAATGGAGTTTATGACGATGGTTGAAAGATCATAAGCGCATGACAGTTACATCGAAACTTTTAAAAGCACTGTATTTTTTCGAAAAGGTATAATACCTAAAAGATCAGGGTTCTTGGCCTTTAGCCAAATGCCACTTTAGCGCTTGTCTACAGAGAAAGTAGAAATCAAAATGTATGGGGATGACACTGACAAGTGTCAAAATTTACGTCAATTCCATATAATTTGGTTTTCTATTCTACATGTAGACAAGCGCTAAATGGCATTTGGCTACAGCTGATTGTTAGTTACGGAGTTAACGGGTTGCCGGTGCCCCGGTTCGAAGGGCAGGAGTAGAAATGAGGTGGTTTTTAGTCAGTAAGAGTCTGACACTCCCTCCCGCCTCACCCATGCGGGAGTAGTCATTCGATGATTTTCCCCCCTTTAAAAAAGTGTCCTTGTTAGTTAGTTTTAAGGACGTTGAAAAAAGGTGGACACAGTCTTTTGGAACAACGACTGTGGCACCACTATAGAGTTACATGCAGAACATACACACATACCTAGACACGAAATACACCTGTCATTCTCTTAAGTCTGGTAACGTGGTATCCATTGTACACGCACACATAAAACACCACTGACATTTTGAGGCTTCAATCATTTCTAACTGGCTTTATGTCCGTCTTTTTTTCAACGTCCTTGGTTAGTTCCATTTATACAGATATATAAAATTGAAGTGTTCGTTTGTAATATTTAAATAACCGCTTCTTACTACAAGCTATATACAATACATACGATACACATTCCATACTAACATTTTTCTACAATTTTCATCTGTGTGTTGCCTCGTTGGCCGAGTGGTCGCAAGTGCGACTGCCGGACAAGGGGTCTTGGGTTCGATTCCCGGGTCGGGCAAAGTATTACTAGGTTTTGAAAATACTTAGTAGTAGCACGGAGTCTGGAATTGTGCCCGGTATTTGGCAATAGGCTCATCCCCTATTACATGGAACTCGTAACATAAATAGTGGGTGTTACATTTAACAGTGGCATTAAGTGCCAGAATGTGCACCTCTGCCTACACCTTCGGGGATAAAAGGCGTGATGTTATGTATGTATGTTTTATCTGTGTGTATTGTACAGGCTCTGGAACTCCTGAACCGATTTTGCAAGACTTTATTGGCAGGCAGCTGATGTACTAAGGAGTAACATAGCCTACTTTTATTTTAGAAAATTTAAAACAAAAAGTTATATTCTAAAATTCATATTCCACGCGGACGAAGTCGCGAGCAGCAGCAGTTTTAAATAAAATTACAATAAAAATATTTTGACTTTGAATTTTAGAGAGAATATATGGAGTTGAAAATTGTTTTCTATTATCATTAGGATAGTCCTCAGACTTATCCAGATTATGTATTCTATTCCTATACATATTTAAATTACCTACATTATGTGGCTCATATATTGCACATAAATTAGTAATGTACAATCCATTGAGCATGAAATTATGACCATTTGGGTGTATTAAGTGCAGGCGTACCTAACACTAATGTTGGACGTAACATAAAAAATATAATATGAACTGAAACCATTTGGAGAGTTATAATTGTTACTTTAGCTATAATTTAATTGATGATGATTATGATTGATTGGAATTATCATTTACTTTAATGTATTTACTAGCTGTTGCCTGTGACTTCGTCCGCGTAGAACATGGTTCCTGTTTTGAATTGAACTGCTCTGAATTGAGTGATTGCTAGCTGGAATGCAGAAAAAAGACTTTTTGTTTTGATTCACTATTCGAGCATAATAGTGTGAAGTAATGACATGTGTCTAATATGTCCATCATACACCTTTATGTTCATCACAGATGTTCGATATTTTTAGTTAGGAGTTCCTACTGCGTAATAAAGATTCGAAGTTATTTGAAACTTATCACTACAGAGTATAAAACAAAGTCGCTATCCACCGTCTGTCTTTCCCTATGTCTGCTTAGGTCTATAAAACTACGCAAAGGATTTTGATGCGGTGTTTTAATAGATAGAGTGATTCTTAAGGAAGGTTTATGTGTATAATACATGCATATTGCACCCGTGCGAAGCAGGGGCGGGTCGTTAGTTCTTATATATAATCACAGATGTTATATTCACACATTACGTATGAAAGACTTATTTATTTACACGTTATAGGTTTTAGGAGTCGTGTAGAATATTTACCGATACGTATTGTATTTTGTACAGAAGTAATCCTCCTACAAAGCAACAGTCGTCGGAGCTCCAACTGAACGCAGGCGACGGGCAGTACGTGGTGGCCTACACTCTAAAGCCCCCCAAACAAGCGCAGCCGGACATATTGAACCCACCGCCAGGTAACTTACGAGATTTCTACTCTTTTGAACCGTATTTTTTTATGTAACTATTTTATAAAATAGCGGCAAACGAGCAAACGGATTAGCTGATTGTAAGCAATCGGCATAGCTCATGGACACTTGCAAGGAGTAGTTACAAGTGCGTCGCAAGCTTTTTGACCTCACACGGTATATGAAACAAAATATGAGTTTTTTTTTATGGGACAAACCCGCCACAACCTCCCAAAACCGCTGCAACTCCTGTAAGCCAGGATCTACAGTAGATACAACCATGAAAACACCGGAACACTGAAGTCCGGCGCGTCCCAGGGACATGAGTAACTGTCACAAAATATGAGTGTTGACTCGCGCTAGTTTTTGTGATGCTGTGGTATTACCCCGGTCAAGTCAACTTATACGTGCTAAAGCATGTTGTTATGGTTTCCCCACGTCAAACCACTCAGAATTGATTTTCTAAAACAATCTTTCTTCCGAAGATTTTCTAGAACAACCATCAATCATATAAAGATCAAGCTCTGTGGAATAACCTAACATTATCGCTGGCTGAAGTTGTTACAATGAAAAATGATTTTATAGATAGATACTAAGATACTTTGAAGGAGAGATACGATTTAGTTTTTGATATTTTCCTGTATATTTTTATTATAAGCACAATTGTATACTTATTAGCTATTATTAGAAAGTTTTCTCAACTCTTTTCACTCAAAACCAATAAAAAACAACCATAAAATTACGTTTTATCTCTAAACACCCAAACAAGAACATTATTGTAATAAAAATCAGATAGTTACTTACGTACCAAACTTCTCAATTTAGAACAAGACTGGCATCATTCCCAATGCGTTTACGACACACTTATCCGATTGTAACGGTATAAGCAGAATAGCTACTTATCCCTAACCAGACATACGTCGGTTTTATTGAGGATTCCTTTAACAAGTGGAGTATAAAGCGCTCAGTGCTCAGTAGTACTGAGATTACGATGAGAAACCATTTGATCGCCATTTGTGGTGTGGTCTGATAGTCCTTATGCTAAGTGTCTCCTGTTCTTGAGTTAATTCCGTTGAGTTACAATGTCTTGGTGGATTAATTGCTTGCCAATTATATCATCGATTCCACATGTGAAGGATCACCTAATCGTTTTTGGGGCTGTATTTAGAAAATTCCGATTTTAAAAATGAATTAAATAATGAAGTCGATATTTATGCTTATATTGACTTAAATCTAACAAAAATAGGATGACATAAAAATAAATGTTAGACGTGCAATCCCGATGTGTTTAAAATATTGCCATTAACTGCAATTTCTTTTAACAAACTTACAGTGTAGTTCAATAAAAGTTAAAAATGAATCATTTCTCATCGTATTAAAAAACAGCGATGCAATAAGTATACTATAAAATCTAAAAATTTCATAGAATGGACGTGACAATTTCTCGTCGACGTCATAAAAATTATATCAATTTTTTGATAGAACACTGAAGATTTATGAGCAAAGTTCAAAATTAATATCTCATTTTAAAGCTATAATATGGCTTTAAACACATTTTTATGAAGATTAAAACCAGTTTTACACCTGAAGTTCTTAAAGTTGATATTTTCTTTGTTTTTCTCCAAATTTTAGGCCGTGACCTGAATGAGGTATTAAATGGTACACGTGTTGTCGTTAAACAGACAGTAAAAAAATTCGAAAACTCTTAAACTCGTAACAAGTCGCGGAGAACCTAACGGGTAACCGGGGCTCCGGCTCGACGTGCAGGAGAAGGAACGGGGTGGTTTTTAGTCAGTAAGAGTCTGACACTCCCTCCCGCCTCACCCAGGCGGGAGCAGTCATTCGATGATTTTCCGCCCTTAAACAAAAAAAAAAAAAAACTCGTAACAAACAAAATTAGTGATTAACTTTATTTATAACTTTGTTAGGACAACATTACCGTTCATATTATGTATACCTACCGGTATTCAGACTAACACATATTTTCTTTCTATTAAAATCAAAATCTGTATAGGAATGAAATAATGAAACGTGAATTTTGTACACAGACGGGGCGCCGCCGAGCGCGAAGTGTGTTACAGAGGCGGCCACGAAAAATGGCGCACTCCATCCAACCGAGGAGTGGGGGAGTGAGCGCGCCAGCGCAGCGCTTGACGACCATCGACCCGTGAGTATCACACAGGGCTTCCACATTTTAAAGTAAAAAAAGACCAACATTCCATACTATTACCGATATGTTGTGTACTTTGAAAATAAAAGCATATTTTTCATTTTGCCATGTCTTGTATACCGCTTAATAAAATATATTAGTCGCAAGTAACGTATCATAAACATTAAATATCAATGTAAAATCTCATATTATTCTACGAAAAATACAAACGCGGTTTCACATCTAAACATTGAGCTTTTCAGTGCGAGCATGACCCACATACCGCGTATTTGTACCTACACCTAGACACGGTATTAAATTAAAAGCGAGCGCTAACCCGATGTGAAAAATCCAAGTCATTAAAACGTAGGTTTAATTATGTCATAGACTAGACACTCCGCACATAATTATACTACGTACTTTGGAAAAGTCTACTCATGAACTGTTGAAAAACTCAAGTAGTTTTGTGTCTAGGTGTAAATTAATAATAAAATTTTATGGAATGAGCCGTAAAATTTTATAATGATTGTGGCGCTCACAGCGGTTTTAATATTAGTTTTATTTAAGTATACTTATGCTTTATTTTTAGAAGTGTTTCTTAATTGCATTGTATCTCATTCAGATTGACCGAGCGTCAACGTAAATTTTTCAGTGTCATTTACATCATTTAATAAGGATAAATATTATAATTGGTCACAAAAAGTACCATTCAGGTACTCATACATTTTGAGAGTTTATAAAATAAAATCTATTTATATTGTGTTCATTTCGTGTTTATCCCTTTCACAGGTACTGTCGCCGAAAGCAATTTTAAATAAGCCACCTGTACCACTTGGCGCGATGACGTTAAGTAGGAGAGAGCATCTCATAGCCGAAGAAATACCAGGTCCAGAGAGTTGTGTATAAAGTGTATAAAGCTTATAATAAATTACTTATGTAAATAGATTCAATTATTTCCAAACGAGATTCTTCAGAAGCAAAGGAGGAAAATGTAAATATACAGTGACGGTAAAGTACATGGTTATGTTCTGCCTAAAAAAACTGCGTCAAAATGTTGCAGCAATCTGTTGGCTCTGTGTTCGTACATTTATTGGCCAGTAGTCTGCTGCTGATTCCCTGGCTCGTTTGTTGCGACTGCCTGCAGCTTACAAATTGCGCTTGCAACTTAAGCAGAACACAACTAAATGAGAAATGTCTTAGCTTGTGGTAGAGTCTCGTCTTAGCTAACGGTTTGTTGAAATTTTGTTCATTGTTCAAACCATTCTTGGTTACGTATGCTCGGCATGTTTTTGTTAAGAGCTAAAAATGTTAAATGAGTTTCCCTTATTCAAAAATCTTGCTCATAAATGGCAAATGTACCCTGAAGTATTATTGTAAAAAGTGTTTTGTTCAAACTTTGCCATATCAAGGTTTTGACATTCATCGCGCGGTAAAATCCTTTTTGGCACAAATGTTTTTGGCGAGTAGTTTAACGGTGGATAGACTTTCTACAAACCGTTGCCATTTTTTTATCTTCACACTGCCGGATACGTTTAGCGGGCCACGAGTGTATGTTACGTTGTACCGAGGTGACCGACTCTATGCCAAAAAAGGAATCCTACAATTTAGTAGCAAAATATAAATTTTGCAAATAATTGTCAACAGTTTAGACTAACTTTATCCTGGAACGTTAGCGTCAATGGCTTAGTCCTTCAGACATTATCACCAGACTTGGTTAAGACTTGGCCTAAGGTGACTGTGGGACCTCTAGAATACTAATAGCTTGTTAGAACGGTTGATCTCGTAAACGCTGCTATTCCAAAGAAACAAACTTCATTCTTTTGAAAGTAAAATTCCTTAATTTTATAGTTTACTCTAAAGTGTTCTTAGTTTTGATGTATTTTTGTTTGTTCCCTGAATTTGTCCCGCAGTGTACCCGTATATAGTTGTAAATGTTTTGTAAAATGAAATGTTGTAAATAACTTTATATGTAATGACTGTGACATTGTGATAAATAATTTGTAAATAATATAAATTGGAAAATTAAAATATAAGGAAATAAAACTCTGTTAAGTGGTCAGGTGTTTGATTTACCAAAAAACAGGTAGAGTAGAAACTTAATATATTTTTGTAATAATATTATTCTATTTAAGTAGGTCACTGTTTTAAGAAATGTTACAATATAAATATGTCTTAAGAGACAGTGGGTAATGGGTAAGCCCAAAGCCAAAATAAATATGTCCTTTATGTCTTTGAGTGACGCAAATGAGGAAATGTGTTTACTATCACAACATCATTCAGTTCTTTTACTAAACAAAACAAAAAACCTTGAACTACTTTCATTCGTTTGTTTTTATAAAACAATATTAAAACTTGACTATGAATAATCCCAGGAGTCGATATTACCGACAACTCCCGTTCGACAAGTTTTGAAAAAATGCCGTCTCGTATTCCCAGCTCAGAGAAACGGGAACTGTTCTGAAGTTTTGTAGTTTATACCTGATGATATTTCATTATTTTGTTGTCTGTTTTTGGTGATATTAGCGGGTAAAGATTACGTATAAACAATAATAAGCGAAGATGTACATAGAGGTGTTTACAATTAATTATGTCACTAAATGTAGAACCCATTTGCGCTATTTATAATATGTGTTCCTATAACAGATTTAGTTGAAGATTATGTGCTGTTATTGAAAATTCTAATACTTCGTTCGAATTACATCCAAAGGCCATTTAATAACAACTTTTATCTGATAAAAAGAATTGCCATAAAATTACGTATGCAGGTATATATTTAGTTTTATAACTCATTTTTGAATATCATATTAATATTCCGCCATACAAGTCACATGTAACGTTTCATAGTTTTACTATTAACCTCGTTTGCTATCGGGACGAGCTTTACTTTTTAATGTTTTTGTAATAACTATCGTGAGACATACTAAATTAAGTAAAAACGCGGGTTACTCACGTGAATATACTGAGAAAAGCTCTACTAGTTTCGAACCACAGAGGGGTTCTTCCTCATGAGCAGCGTGCGCGGTCGCGGCGACGTCGCGCAGCTCACTTTTTAATCTAGTCGAACTCTTTCACCGAGATTCTAGCTACGGTTGGCCTTTAATTAAAATGTCTGTGGCGTGTCATCCCTATCCCGGAACTTGACCACAGATATAAAACCCACAGTTTGCTTGTCTACGTGTCCAAATTTACAATAGACCATACTATTTGATGTAGTTTTTAATTACAGTCGAAGTGCAGTTGAAAAGATTCTCATAGTTTCGTGTTGGTCTGTATTTTTTGCATTGATGTGTAATTTACAAGATCGTAAAGTCGAATAATTACATAAAATATGTAATCTGAGTAATGACTGACAGTAATAATCCTAATATACTTATTCTGTGCTTTTGTTAAAAATATTGATAAACCATCAAATATTTTATTAAAGTACTATACTAAGCATAAACAACGCTTGCAAGTACGTATGTAAGTATTTCAAGAAACTAGGAGGATATTAGTACCACTAACTGCAACACTAATTCTATGAAATCTCAGGTTTATACCAAAACACAAGACATAGAAGCTGCTTTACCATATATGCTGTGCATTTAGCTTAATCGCGGCAACGTGAATTATGCAGCTCTAAGAGAAATCCCGAAAGCGCAATAATGAACATCCCGCGTAATCCAGCATTGGGTTGGTTAACCAATTAGGAGTGTTTTGTAAGTTACATGTATTGTGCACTTGTCTGTGTCCTGCCTCGCCAACTGTTAATCTGCCTTTGTGACTGTGCCAGATCAAATTGATATTGAATCGTCATTTACCGAGTAACTGAAGTCGTTGTGGTGTTATAGAGGATCAATTGAGGTATTAAATACTCTGCTTCATGCAATCCAGTAGGTAGCTTTATCTTAGTTTTTCCATTTTATTGAGATCATACTCATAATGTTTCATTTAATAATTATTTCCACAAATTAACACAAAACAATGTGTAATAATTAACCAAAAAGATCATAACTCAAAAAAGATTCAAAACAAAGTACTTAGAGGCACGTGAAAAGGTTCATAAAGGCACCTACACGAGCCGCGACGTCGTCAGACAATTCGCTAAAGGAGCGGAATTAAATTAATTCTTGTAATGAGCAGTATATTTCATTGAAATTACGTTCATCAGCTTACATTTATCTAAGTTTAAGGGGCTTGCGTAAAGACGCAGCGTTTCTTTCTGCTGGTGTGCCGTCGAGAATGAGCGAAAAATTCCCAAGCGTGTGCTCGTTTAGCTCGTAATTTTTCATTGAGCCTGAGAGTCGGCGGGAAAGCCTCCAATTAAGTTTCTCTTTACCGTTTGGCCCCGGAAAAAGGGGAAGAAAAATGAACAACAGAGGCAAGGGACAGTCGCCCGGCCGCTGCCGCACGCCGCCGCACGCCGCCGGCGCCCTATGATAGCAAATGACCTTTTCCGGCCGCACGAGCGCGTTGTTGTTTTACTATAAATATTTCTTATAAATTGCACCTTTTTAAATAGCTCGATGTAGTTTACATTCAAATAGCGCCGTCGTAAAGACATTATTTTTCATTGCGACGACTTTTTCCGTTTACGCTAGCAATGTTTCTTTTATTTTTGCCATAAATCAAATGTTTGCTCTGCAGGTATATTTTTTACTTTTATTTATTCAAACTTTGCTGTAATTATGTTCGAGATGTGCTGTTTTAATACACGTTACTTTAAAATGTAAATAGATGAGAGCTCACAACGCTGTTTTCCTGCTCAGAATAAACACCAACACTTACCTTGATTAAAATGAAAGTAATTAAAAAAATATTACCAGACTAAATGAATTACTTTCGTCCGTCCGGACGGTTATTTCTTGCCGTGTACATAAGGGCCCATAAACATTAGGCTCGGCTAATACCATTCTTAGATGTAGGTGTAAATGAAAGATTATTGGCGTTCTGACAATAAAACCACTCACCTAGACTGCTCGTAAAGTTCGGTAGGTTGATTGAGTCAGTATTTTTATTGTTTCGGCCCGTGAATCAATGGCGAATGTTTGAGTAATAAAAGCGTTTTACGATTGTTTTCACGGGGAAATTTGTGGCCCGTGAAATGTTCTTCCGTAGTCATTTTCTTACTGAACGTTTCTCTCAGGAGACACTTGACATTCTTCGGTTAGATGCCATTAATCGTTCACACCTTCAGTTGCCTTTATGTTACAGTATCAAAGGAGGTGGCCACGCGTGTAACAAAATCTCCCCGAAGTAATTGTACCCTCTCCGGGCCATGGGTAGATACATACTTGAGTTTAAACTTCTTAGTACTTGGAAGTCGGATTATAAGTGACATTGAACTTTAAGTAAGCACCCACCTTTACGGTGTAGTGACAAGACTTCAAAACGAGTCAACTTTGAGAATAAATTAATTGAGTCAATGTGAACAGTGTAATTAAAATCAGTATACAAGGGTACCGAAATTGTGTTTGTTCGTGTATCGATTGGAGCGGGATTACGTACCGACTACATACTTATATTGAGTAGAATAACTGAGAGTAGACAATATTGTTACGTATCAAGTCAATTGTATCATCAAAGTTGGAAAGTTTACTCAAGCCAAGTTTTAATGCATTTTTTCCTTTTTTTACTTTGCACCATAGTTTTATTCTTTCGCCAGTTAGAGGGCTAACAAAGTACTTATCGTGTACTTTATTTTACTATGAAAACATTCAGCAGCTAATTGTTTCTTTGGCTTGAGTGTTTATTGACTTGATGGTAGATAATATAAATATTTACAATTTAAATTTAACTAAAAGTAAAAAAAAGATTAGATCTCGGATTCGGTTTCCTACTGGAGTTTCAAAATTTTTAGTGATTACGATGATATCTATGTAGACAGTTAATTAATAATGAGTTCGGTCACCAAATTATTATAAAACCAATAATATGAGTAGCATAAACAGGATTATAACTACATAATAATATGTAAGTATTCATTAATACTTTAACTAATACTTTGGGAAAGAATCAATATGATGAGAGAATTTATATGTTTTTGCTGTTCTAGATAATTGATTGTACTGTAAGTCTCAATTTGCGTGTAGTAAGCTCCTAATAGATGCGTAATAACAATATAACACTATTGAAACTAATTAATTATTCAGTCACAACAGTGTTGCACTAATTAATTAATCAAATATGGTTGCAAACTTTGAAGCACGTAGATAGGTACTTGATTTAATTTCGAAAATATACGCTTCGATATTCAGAATTAATAATTATGGTACTTGTTTTTAATTTGATGTTAATATTCAGGAACATATGAAGTCCTAACGACTTCAAGATATTTTAATACAGCATCATGCCTTTAGTTCTGCAAAAATAAGCAGAAGAGTAACTACGATTGCATACATAAATGAGAAAATTGAATTCATTAATCATTAAAAATATTCCATAAAATGATTGAACAGACAAACCTTTCATATCGTAAGTAATTCACGTCACATCCAAAATTAAACAAGCAAGGTGTTCTCATAACATTTACATGGAGCTCTGTAATTCGTGGGCAACATACCCCCGAGCGGCGTAAACAGTGATTAAGTTAATTCACAGTGAGGCCGAAGCGAGGGCCGACGGCCGACGGCCGAACGCCGGTCGTCGATCATCGGCTGCCGGCTAATAATCCCTCACTTTAATTGCTATGAAATCAGCTGCTATTTATACTGCATCCTGCTGTTTACGGTCCACCGTTTTTCAGCCCAATAATTAACTGCATTGTGTTATGTAATTACCCTATAATATAAATATGGTTCTTAATGAGATAATAGTTTGTTTTATGTGTTTATTGTTTGTTTGCGCACTCGGACGTGGTGTAACAAGATGTGTGCTTGTTCTGCCTCGAGCAAAATCCTGACGGGATGACGGATCACGACAGGAATGGGCAGTTGGCCTGACGCCTCAGGCGCACTGCTGCCCTTTTTCCCTTCCACGACCTTTTGCACCCATAAAGAAAATGTGTTAGTTCACGTACACAACAAAGATAAAACACAAAGTCCTTTGGCTATAAAACATAATATTCGTAA